GACGAGACACCTGGCTAGCCACTGCAAAAGACAAAAGGGAACATCCCTGTTGGTGCACACGAACCCCAACGGAGTGGCAGGCCACACCCCATATGGATCTCATCCGGGGAAGATAGCACCAGTGGGAGACCACTCCTCCGCAAGAACATAGTCACCATTTATGCTATTGTGAACTTGTCGAATGGTCTTAAATATGTTGGACGCACGGTAGATAATCCGTATGCAAGATTTACGGGGCATTTAGNAGGGAGACCACTCCCCCGCAAGAACACAGTCACCATATATGCCATTGTGAACTTGTCGAATGGTCTGAAATATGTGGGACGCACGGTAGATAATCCGTATGCAAGATTTGCGGGGCATTTAGGTACCGGAGATCGGTTGGGCAGGACACTAGACCTAGATTGGACTAAGTTTGCGGTTTTCGAGCTCGACACACTCCCCCGTTACTTGCCGGAAGGCCATAGGTCTGGCACACTACTACACTGGCGGCAGAGGGAGAATTCCTGGATTGCATGCATGGACACTGTCAGAAATGGTTACAATACCAAGAGAGAGATTGCATGCCCCCCTAGCCCAGGTGTACCTTCGTATGGTTTTGGTACGCGACCGATCAAACGGTCTAGACACGAAGCACGCAAGACTTCAACAAATGGGGGTTGCCAGAAAAGGATGTTCCGGTCCCGTGACTGGAAACGACGAATACTACATCGTTGTATCCATTTGAATTTATTGAGTAGTACAGCATTGGTACAAAACGGTATATAGATGACAATTTCACGGTGTGATATGGTAACCAGGCTGGACCAGCATTTGAATATATCATAGATAAGGCGTAATCAACATGGTGGTACGTACCCAACGATGGTGTTAGATACGAATGGTGATGAGATAGACAACCCCGTTCGCATTACCCAAGAACAGTGTGGGGAATCAGCACACTTTCTGGATGGATATGCATATAGGGCAAGACATTCCTGATAAGACTTGTATTAGTATGTATAATAAGCGCCAACATATGGCTACGCTGAAGCAATATCGGGCATTCCCACATTGGGAAACAGTGTTATCTACTAGGTGTAAAATGTCGACGTTACACCGTCAAATGTGCCGATTTGCTGTTAGATGTACTGACATTCGACTTTTCCAAGCTGCCACAGCCAGATTGATGGCTGACATGCTTGCACGCTTCTATTCTAGTCGACTATTATATTCGTAATACTTTACAAAATGTCATGTATACCTTGTTCGCACCTCGCCAGTGACTGCAAACATCGTGGGTGTAACTAAGAAAAGAATTAAAAAATAAATAAACAGGGACCATGGGTAGGGATCAACAGTACGTTTAGTACAGTATCGAGAATCGGTACTGAGGTTTGTATCAGTGCAGTACGAAAAGCCGTACTAAACTTTTATGATGTTTTTTAAAAGCGGCGCCTCTAATCGGCACAAACCACCGCATTTGAGCGAAGCTAGTTCGCAAAGTGCCAGGGAATGCACAGCAAAATATGCTTTTGAAATCGAGCTCGATTCAAGGGAAATACAGCCAAAACAGCAGGAGGTAAACACGGGAAATGTGAGGGCTTCATCTAAAACATTTCAGGTTGCCCTACGCATGGTCGCTTGAGCCACAATTTGCGTGCCCTGAGGAGTGGAGTTTGAGGGTAGAATGAAGTCGGGAACATCTCGCGATCCTGGTAAATGGTAAGCGATTCTAGCGCCCGTGTCATGTTTGGTCTGTACCGTGTCCGGAGGCTGGTGGTGAGGCCACAAACCAACCGTAGATTTGAGACGGTGCCGTCTAAAAGTAACTCTAGAACAGATACTTTGCCTTGGCCCCGCCACGAATGACTCGAGTTGGGTGGTGGATGACCTTCGGACTCCCTCCGGTGGGTGATGATTTGTTTTCACTATTAAACGCGAGAGGCAGACCTCATTGTATATTTTATCCTTCAGCGACCCTGCGTGCGTTGCCATCGCCCACAAAAAATGTGGCCTGTTTCTAACACTGCAGGGCAGGGATTTGCGCGTGGACGTCTGAACATGGAGGACTGTCCGGGTCGTCTGTCTGCGCATCATCTACACACGCCAACGCATCGCACGCTCTTTGCGTGCGGTTCGTTTCTCTTCCAATTTCTGGCACGTAGAGGAACGGGAGGTCTTCGCCGCACAATGTGTTGCATTCAGCTTATCTTTACGTGCTCTTCTCGTTATTTTTCCTGGCGGACATCGCCACTCTATATTTCTACTAACCCATCCGGGATCTGAGACAGCACAACGGATACCAACAGACACGATCAGCGACAAAACAAACTATCACGCTCATGCACAAATACGAACGAAAGAACAACCGGCCGGCAATCCACACACAAGGACGCACAGGCGTCTAGAATGACTGGTAAAGCACTTTTGTCGTGCACCACGAATAATCCCACTTGCCTCTGAGAACACCCACCAACAACTCAAGCACAAGTAAACATTCGAGACGAGGCACAATCGACAGACAGGGTGCAAACACAACGCCGGGGAAGCTGGCTAGTCACCTCAATGGTACAGGGTGCACACTAACACAACATCGTACACTAGATACATGTACACCGCTTGACTCTCGTTCGTTCCCAGTCAAGAATTTTTCGTGTCACGGCTCGCTCGCTCGCGTACCATCTCTGGCGATCTGTCGCCAGCAACCGCACAGCGTCCAAATTCCATCCAAATTTAAGGAAATACACAAAACAATCACAAGAGGCCATGCTAATCAAACTAGCATCCCTTTTTAGTCGATCTCCTCGATCTTGGGGCCGGCGTCCGCCTCCGCGTCCGGAGCAGGTGCCGCCCCTCCGGCGGGGAACCCGGCGCCACCCATGTCGGGCATGCCACCGGGCATACCCCCCGGCATGCCGCCGCCCGCCCCGCCGGCCATCTTCTGGATGATGGGGATGCACACACCCTCGAGCTCCTTCTGCTTCTCCTCATACTCTTCCTTCTCGGCGTTTTGGTTGGCGTAATTCTCGAGCGAGTTCTTGCCCTCCACGCGGCTCTTCTGGACGTCGTCCTCGGCCTTGTAGCGCTCGGCCTCCTCCACCATGCGCTCGATTTCGTCGGCGCTGAGACGGCCCTTGTAGTTGGTGATAGTGATCTTGTTCTACTTGCCGGTGGACTTCTCCACGGCGTGCACGTTCAGGATACCGTTCGCGTCGATGTCGAACGTTACCTCGATCTGCGGCTGGCCCCTGGGCATGGGCGGGATTCCGTCCAGGTTGAACTTGCCCAGGAGGTTGCAGTCGCGGGTCATGGTGCGCTCACCCTCGTACACCTGGATCAGCACACCCGGATGGTTGTCGGNGCCTCCTCCACCATGCGCTCGATTTCGTCGGCGCTGAGACGGCCCTTGTAGTTGGTGATAGTGATCTTGTTCTACTTGCCGGTGGACTTCTCCACGGCGTGCACGTTCAGGATACCGTTCGCGTCGATGTCGAACGTTACCTCGATCTGCGGCTGGCCCCTGGGCATGGGCGGGATTCCGTCCAGGTTGAACTTGCCCAGGAGGTTGCAGTCGCGGGTCATGGTGCGCTCACCCTCGTACACCTGGATCAGCACACCCGGCTGGTTGTCAGCGTAGGTCGAGAACACCTGCGACTTCTTTACCGGCACCGTGGTGTTGCGCTTGATGAGCGTCGTCATGACGCCGCCGGCCGTCTCGAGCCCCTGTCCGAGCGGGGTCACGTCGAGGAGCAGGAGCGAGTCGAGCTTGTCTGACTTGTCCTTGCCCGAGAGGATGGCGGCCTGGACGGTGGCGCCGTACGCGACGGCCTCGTCAGGGTTGATGGACTTGCACGGCTCCTTGCCGTTGAAGAACGCCGAAAGCATCTGCTGCACCTTGGGGATACGCGTGGACCCTCCTACCAGCACCACCTCGTGGATCTGGCCCTTGGACATCTTGGCGTCCTTCACCACCTGGTTGGATTTCAAGGGAGAAAGAACAAAAATGTGGAAAGGGTTGAGGGATACGCTGCGATGGCGACAGGGTTAAGTAACCTTACGCGTGTTGGAGGAACAAAAAAGCACAGGAAAGTAAAGCGGATGCACACACATCTACGACCACGGCTTGCGATATCTCTGCTTTTGGAAGATGCCATGAACACGCAGATGAGTTATCCAAAGAGCACGTGAGTGCAACGTATGTGGGGTTCGATCGAAAGAACGAGAGACGTGCATGCGCAACAGACCTGCCCACTCCATCGAAATGGACGCGGCACACACAGCTACTTTTCCCGGTCTGAGTTTAGTCGTGTATGTCAGAGTTAGGCTGTGTACGGCAAAATCTCACCTTCTCCACGGGTGACAAGCACTTCTGGAAGTAGTCCTGGTTCATGTCCTCGAACCGGGCGCGAGTGATGGTGGAGTTGAAGTCGATGCCCTCGAACAGGGAGTCGATCTCGATGTGCGCCTGGGTGGACGACGAGAGGGTTCGCTTCGCGCGCTCGCACGCCGTGCGGAGACGTCGTAGGGCGCGCTGGTTGGTGCTCATGTCCTTGCGGAACTTCCGCTTGAACTCCTGCAGTGTCAAAAAGAGGGAAAGGGGGGGAGGGGAGGGGACGGGTCAGGGAAAGGTAACCCCAAGGACCATTTGTTCCGTACACACGAATGAAAGACGAATATTTTTCCTTGGGACGTGTGTTGATTGTCCGGTACACAGCCGCGTCCCGTGCTCACTACCGCTGGTCGACGCCAACACTTTCGAAAAAATCAACAAACAAATCGCCCATCATCAACAGCAACTCTTGGGTTTATAAATACAGGACGAAGGACATGCACCGCCTACGCACCTGCAGGAAGTAGTCAACCATGCGGTTGTCGAAGTCCTCCCCTCCCAGGTGGGTGTCCCCCGCGGTAGCCTTCACCTCGAAGATGCCCTCCTCGATGGTCAGCACGCTCACGTCGAAGGTTCCGCCGCCCAGGTCGAAGATGAGCACGTTGCGCTACTCGCCCTTTTGTCCAGGCCGTACGCGATGGCCGCGGCGGTCGGCTCGTTGATGATGCGCATCACGTTGAGACCCGAGATGGATCCGGCGTCCTTGGTCGCCTGGCGCTGGGAGTCGTTGAAGTACGCGGGCACAGTGATCACCGCGTGCTTCACCTGAACGTGTGCGTGGCAGTTCAAAGCACATAGGGTGGGAAATCTGAGGTTGAGCATCAGGGTGCCGTACAGAGTGGGGAGTCGTGCACATGTCTTCTGTAGCATGACACAATATAACACACCCCTTGGACCGAGTTTCAAAGCTCGATTACTCCACGACAAAGATAATGCATAAACGAAACGACATTATCTTGGAAAGCACTCGCGAGACGGCACTAACGCCGCCATTGTCAGAACCGCCAATCAAGTGGGGGGGGGTGATACATATCGTGTCACCTGTGTTATGCGGTCGAACGAAAATACAAACCCTGGAACGTCTATAAGTGAATGTGGTACTGCTGTCTGTTCTTAACAGCAAGAAACACGTACATCATGCATACGTTCATGCATGCGTCCATCCCCTCCTGTCCAAGCAGGCAGGCAACGAACAAAAGTACCGTAGGTTTCGGAAGATACCACTCCCTCCATAGGCCGAGTTTCAAAGATCGATTTCTCCAGGACGAAGACGGTACCACAACCAAACGATACGTCGCCGGAAAGCTCTCAGCGAAATAGTCCCCACGCCGCAATCCTCGGCACCGTCATTCATGTTGCTGCAAAGAAACCGAACATTTAAAATCGACCCAAGTGGCTGTGGTGTGTATGCAACCTCCGGTATGATCTACAGCAGGACATTCAGTAAACCCAAGGGTGATTAGGTCGCCCAAGAGGGTCTCGTACGTCTCGATTGCAGTTCCCTTGCTGATAAAACAACACTTAGTTCACGAGCAAAAGAAGAACAAGCCCATTGCCAGCCGAAGCTCACCCTACGGAACAAGCGGCCTCCGACGCTGCCATCTTGAGCACTAGGGGCGTTCCTCCCGTCTCGAACTCCGCCATAGAGTATCCGAGCTGTGCTTCAGTGCCAACCCCAGGCCGCCTTCGCCGTAGAACTGAACCCCTTTGCCGACATCCCGTATCAGCAAGATGACGCTTCTCGCCCTCATGGGTCTCTGCTGCTAACAGAGGAAAGCGCTAGTACTGCACCAGACGCAGCGATATCAGTGGCAAACGCAACCAGCGCGGGGGCGCGCGGGCGGCGGGGGAGACAGGTGGGAGCTCCGTCGTTTTGGTTTTGAGTACTGTAGTTACGCCGCATTTCCAGATCCTGCGATCTGCGATCTAAACGACGGTCACTTCACCGGAGTGGGACACGTCAACACCACATACATGCGTAGCGCCGCCCTAGCGCTCAAACAGTACTAATACTGCAAACGCCACGAAATTCGTGCTGTCGTAGCGCCGGGTAGCACGTGCTCTCGACACTCGGAGCTTTTTAGGGCTTTAGAAGAAAGTTCAGAGTCGAATCCACGAACTAGTGTGCACCACCCCGTACTCTTACTGCTGTAGGCCTGACTGCTGTTGGCCTGACTGAGGACGCTATGACAGAGCAAGCTCGGCCCGACAATGCTGTCGCAGAGACAACCGCTGTAAGGCAGGTACGTTCTACCGGTATGGTGCATGGCGTCGAACATTTCGTGGAGATGTTTCATGCCTATACATCCACATCACAAACAGCAGTCAAACACGGCTCGGAGACCTCACTCCATGTGCATACAACGAAGTACCACTTGCAAGTGTCTTGATTACAGTAAATAGCCTGCCACACAAAGTGCTGCATATAGACTGACAGGGTGCCCCGACCCTTAGCAACACTGCTTCCGGTTACTCTCGCCCCTGCTCTACCCTTACCTCCCTAGGATTTAGACCCGATATACGGTGTTCTATCAATGCAACATAGAAAGCGAGCGGAGACTTGGAGCTGTCTCGTATGCGGTGCTAGCCAGCCTTCGATAAGAAAAGTGAGTACGCTGTCAAACATTTCTAATTACTTCCTTTTGTTCAAGAGGCTGGCTGGAAGCAACGGGTGACAGTGCTTAAACTTCACAGAGTCACAACTCGTTCGAGAACCACAACTCGTTCGATAACCTCTTCTTGAAGGTTGTGCGCTACCTTCTCTTCCATTGGCCACCAACAGATTCTACCGTACCCCAAACCAGGCACGTTCGTCCTTTGTGCCTAGTGTGAATGAAAAGGCACTCAGCGCCGACTTCGGCGCAAACAGCTCTAAACTTTGTCCAAGTGGTAGGCCTTCCCGTAGAATGAATGGGAGGACTTATTTGTTCAAAACACGATGTGCAGGTCCCCTTACACCAGCACGCACGGGCGGTTAGCCAGCGGGTGCAAACCCCAAGGTGCACACATTGCAAGTGCTCGACGTTGCAGCCCCTCTGGTCTGTCTCAACTTCTTTCGGAAAGCTGTTTTTTCGTTCATCCTTGATTTTGGCGCCCAGATGTTATTGGGTTATTTTTTACATATTCTCTTCGCTCTTTCCGTTCGTATCCCGGGGGGTAGAGTTTACGCCAACCTCGCCAACAGCCCCACGGCAGTACGCACACCAATTACAGGTTTCCATGTGGCTTTGGTTTGTGCTTCCACCATGGTGCGTCATTACGGTACCTCAGAAAACATACGTCTTCTGGTAAAAGAAGTCTTGATGACTACCATGTTGCACCTTTAGTCTTGTCCTTCCCTGTCTATATACACCCTCCCTTGTTTCATTGCAAGGAAGACATGTTCGACCTGTTCTCGAGACCGGATTCCGCTCTGGCTCCTGGACGTCCACGGCCGTGCCATCCTCCCGGGTTCTATTGTGCGGTGCCCGAAGGGCTCAGCAAGATACGCCGCACCGCCGCCGCCGCCGCTATCTGGAGAAGACGCTGGGGCCACAATCTCGCCCCGAAACAGAGGAAGACCGGCATCGCCTTCTCAGCCGGGATCGCCGACGTCTCGCAGATCCCCGAAGGCTGGAGCTTCGTCACCCACAGCGGCTTCCCTATCCCCGCGCCAGAGGGCTCTCGGTGGGACTCGCACGCCAACGAAGCGTGGCTCCCCCCTCTCACCCCGCTCGGAGCACCGACAGGTCGCCGGCGGTCGAGCAGGAGGAGGAGGAGGAGACATCTCTCCGGCCAACGGCGTGATGAGCCCTGGGCGTAATAGGTGGGGTGCTCCTGCGAGTTCACCGGAGGGGTCGAAGACTCCGAGGCCTTCCTCGAGAGGGAGGAGGCTGGGAAACAACAACCACAACAACAACAACAACGCGCCGGGTGACAGCTCGAGGCGATCGGAGGAAGAGCTGTTCGAGGCTGCCGCCGCCGCGGCGAAGGCGAGGTTTGAGGCGCAGCCGGGCGATCGCGTGGTCTTGGTTGTCGCGGTGAACGGCGTTCGCCCACAACCGCCGCGCGCTGCTCCAAGCTTGGAGGGGTACTGCGTCATGGTCAGTGCCGAAAAACTAAATGCTCATATTGTTCACGTTGGTCGGATGTTGTTGAAGGATTCGAACACTGCCATTCTTTGGGGAATGTGCCTGTCTCTAAGTGTCAGCGGGTGCGTCTCACTAACGGCCGGAGCCATCACCAACAACGCAGACGTTGACCGTACCGAACGGTTTTTGAAGAGCGCCTTTCATTGGGGCTCAGCCGAGGGGCGTTCTGCGGAGATTTAGACATTCACCCAAACTGATGATGAAGATAAGCGATCTACCATAGACGTGAGGGCGACACTGGCGTGGTACAAGACGGGGAACGGTTCGGCGCTTCAGAACAGAAATAAATATCAATTGGCGACATCTTTCAGCGATGAATGTTTTGTTTCACCCCCGGCACGGGTGACCACGGCCAACTATCAACCCCAACACAGGCAGATGTTGTACTCGCTCTTCTTGGCACCACATTATGTTCACGTGTCAAAGAGATTGCCACCGCCCTGATCAGCTGGGAAAATCGAGTTTGATGTTGTTGGCTCGCAAAAAAACGCAAAAAACTGTGTACCCAGTGCCACCGCGTCGTGGTGTATCCGAACATGACAGGAAGGCAACGATGGCCAGGCGACGAGCAGGGTGTTGGTGAAGGTGATCCTCGACATGACAAAGGTATATACTCCTACGAAAACGTTCTAGTATGCATGTTCTGTAAAACATCAAAGTCAGTCCCAGCCAATCGTTGGCGAAGACGTTACATGTAGGGTGTAAAAAGTGGCCCAGGGGTGTGAGACACTCCCAGCGACGGCCGTCTGTATGTAGTAATGGATCATCAGCACCGACTCCTCGATAAATATCACACCCCGTCTCTGTTCTCTCTAACTTCCGTCGTCTGCGAAGGAGACATCAGCCGAAGTTGTTGTGGACGGGAGCCTGGAATACGAGGAGCGCGCGAAGTTCCTTCAGTTCGGGTGAGTGCCTGAGGAAGCACGGCCATCCCAACAACAAAGAAAGTCAAGCGCGACGTCGGCCGTACTTTCTTGCAAATATAGTCGTCACCGTTTACCCCCTCGTCTTTCCAACAGGCTTTGCGGGCGTTGTGATCGAGTTTTCCGAATCAGCCAGGGGTGGAAACATGTGGAGCAGAAGGTGAGAAAATTCTTCACAGAGACATACATCTACGAGCACCGTGAGAGTTCTTTGCGTGAGGCATAGTCGCTGACCCGTTCGCTCTCCCTGGTTCTATTCAGCATATAAACACATATATTTGGTTTTTTACTCTCTTCAACGAAAATACAAACGCCTTCTTGCCTCATTACGAAAAACCGCAGTCTCGTCACGAAACTGTTGTCGACGGGGAGACCAAGCTACGCCACCTCTCGACGCTAGTGGCCAAGGCGGAGGAGAATAAAAATGCCTTGCGAGCCGCGCGGGGAGCTCGCAAGGATATCCTCGAGGCCACCGAGAAACTCAGAGCCCTTCGCCATGAGATCTCGGCGACCCGCAGAGCTCTCGAACCTTTGGTCATGTCGTGCCCGTTCTGCCTCTGGAACTTTGCCCCGCTATTTTCGTCACATAGTACGGGGGGTGGAGGATGACGGGAGCGGCTAGATATGGAAGCAAATCGGCGCTTATTCAGATGGGGGAGACAGTGAGCGAAAGCGAGGCAACAATACGTGATTCTTCACCCACCGAACGGTTTCGTGCGTACACTTCTGTTTTCACTGCAGGAACAGGTTTTCCCGTACACAAAGAAACTTTTATCTCCTGTACACAAAACTCGGTACAGCGTTAGGTACGTGTTTTGTTGTAGCATTAGCAATACGAAAGCGGTTTGCCTTTGTCCACCCTCTTCCGGTTTAGCGTGTGCGTCAAGAAATCACCTGTCGCTTCGAACATCCCCCATTGCTCTACGGTCAACGGTGTTGTGCCCGCAGTGTGCTGAAGACCCGCACCAGAGTACCAGAGATTTTTCCTCCCGCTTATGTTTGGTGTCTTTGTGAAGAACATGCGTCTTGCCCAGTCTCGGAAGGGAGCGCTGGCGTGGACCAAAACGATCAGTTGAAAGTGACTTCCGTCCGCAAAACAAACTTACACGTTGCTGGGCGGGGGAGCGATACCATGCCTGTTGTGCCCTCGTGAAAAGGAGGAAATGGTAGTCCAAGGACCTTGGGGGAAGTAACCTCTTGAGTGAACGGTCACCTCCACAAACACACACTTAGCCCCTGTCTGAATAAGCATTCATTCACCTCATCCGCCGACACAGCGCGAGAGGTCATTTGGACCGCTGCAAAATGCATTCCAAACGAGGCAGATACAAGCCACAGACTTGTGGGCAACTACATAGGTACAGCGATATATTTTACTCGAGCTTGACCACGCAGTACCGTGCCACCGGCCAAACCACCAACAACATCGCACGAAACCACCAAACCACCATACCACGCCGCCGGCGTACAAAAAAACATGACACCGCAAAGCACAAACACCAGTTCCACGTTACGTGCGCGCAGCAAACGCGCGACATGAAAGACCCAAACAACAAAAACATTCATGACCGAGTGTGGTGCACTGCTCCTTGACTCTCTTGTGTATCTTGCGGGAAGCACGGCAAACCAACCCGCCGCTTCTACGTGTCGAACAGGCCGACAGTCTGGCGATCGATTCGCCCCAGACAAGAGACACTCATGTCCCGGAAGTACCCCGGTCGGAAGTTCCCAACACTACTGCTGCTGTGTGGGCGGCAAACCCCGGCGATATGACGGCGCCATCAGCGTTGCTCTATGTTGGAACGTCCTACTTGGCGTGCTTGGCGAGGAATGCCGCGACCTTGGGCTCCGAGACGACGGCGTCGTACATAGCGCAGAGGGAAGGGTAGGAGTCGGCGATGGTAGTCGGGATGCCGTCGAGGACACCGTTCCTCATGTGGTGAAGGCGGTAGGCAATCATAATGTCCGCCACAGTCATCTGAGGTGTCGGGTACACACGCAGCGATGTGGTGTGTCTTGTTGCTGTTGCTATCTTCACAGTAGAAAATATTCGGCCTCTCCTTAATACTACCTTTTGCAAGTATCCGTGCCGGTCCAACTGATTCGGGCGCCTTCCTTCCGTGGTCACAAGCCAACTAACCCCACAAGAAGGGCAACAACAAAACACAGTTGCAGGAACGAAATGGACAAAAAAGTGGACTCAGAAAACGTGTTTTTTCTAACGGAAACACAGACACGGTGGGAAGGAAACCCTGCCGCGGGCGAAGGGCAAGGGGCGAAACAGACGAGAAAAACGGCGGCGGAAAAAAAACTACGCAGCAGCGCCGCAATTAAGTCCCCCTCCCCCGCCACAACGGGGCATGTACGCAGGTCTTGCGAGTAGTCTTGGGGCCGTGTTCAAGGGCGAAGGTCTCCCAAGTTGATGTTAGGTGAACTCAGCACTCGATACGGACCTACGGAGATCTACGGGGTCTCGTGTATTATGCTGGCGATCCCCCCTCTGCGTGCATGGCCAGGTTTGCCCTGTTCACTCGTTAACAAGGTCTTGAGTCAACCCTTCTCCACAGCCTCCGACGCTACACCCGCCACACAGCAGAAGATAGCCGTGAGACGCAACGCTTTTTCGTGGAAAGACGGTCGGCTTAAGTTTAGCGTATGAGGTACATATACGCTGCATCGGGAGGATAGGTGACCAATGAGAACAGTAACGGGGAGGGAAGGGCGCCGGCAGCGGAACCGCGCGTCTTCAACACACGGGGAGGAGAGTGCTACCGCACACCACATCGGTTTCGGGCAAGGGAGGGGACACACTTGACTGAACCAGACTCAAAAACCACGCACCTTGTCCAAGAAGAAGGTGCCGTCGGTCGAGGAGAGCTGCTTCTCCATGTTCGAGAGCCACCTGGAAAAAAGCAAAATAAAGAACACGAAAAACAAGACAAAGGCGTCATTTCGCAAGGGACGTCGGGCGCGGACGAAACTTGCGTGCACGAGTCACGTACGTAGAGCGGAGTGTCTTGGCGCGCTACAAAAAAAAAGCGGCGAAGAAGCCAAGGTACGCCATCACTGAAAGGCACCCGCAGGTATCTACATACTGCATAGGAACGGAACGACGAGTAAGGAAGAGAGCAACCAACATTCGCTAAGGAAGGAAACACCTGTGGCAGGGGACCCAGCCCCGACATTGACCCGAGCGGGTACACCCCTCAACCTGAACTGCAGGCAGGGATACTTACACCGCGACCTCACGCTGCACTAACCTTACGTTCCCCTTGGCAAAATCTATACAACACACACCCGCACGACCTATTTTACATATTTTGATCTCACTTGGGGATGAAGTTGGCCGCCAGATCCGCACGCATCTCCATCTTCGTAGTCACCAGCGTTCACACGTTAGACAAGACACCAGCGACAAAGGGAAGGAAAGGAAGCATCCAAAGATTGCAGAATGTCTCACGCAGCCAATCCACCACGCATGGACGGGATAGAAGCATAAGTGAGGAGAGCAGGGTTTCAATTTCAGGTCGTAATCGACAAGAGTGTGAGGTAACGCAAACGACCATCCACGCAAAAGCTGAGAAGCGCTGCGGTCGCCGCCGGCAGGGCGGTGACATCCAAAGCCAGATCACGTTTTTGGGCGCGTCAAAGGATGCGTGCGCCGTCTTCAAGAAGGGGACGTCTCGTCTCTGCCTGGGCGTCACCACAAACAAACAGTANTTACATATTTTGATCTCACTTGGGGATGAAGTTGGCCGCCAGATCCGCACGCATCTCCATCTTCGTAGTCACCAGCGTTCACACGTTAGACAAGACACCAGCGACAAAGGGAAGGAAAGGAAGCATCCAAAGATTGCAGAATGTCTCACGCAGCCAATCCACCACGCATGGACGGGATAGAAGCATAAGTGAGGAGAGCAGGGTTTCAATTTCAGGTCGTAATCGACAAGAGTGTGAGGTAACGCAAACGACCATCCACGCAAAAGCTGAGAAGCGCTGCGGTCGCCGCCGGCAGGGCGGTGACATCCAAAGCCAGATCACGTTTTTGGGCGCGTCAAAGGATGCGTGCGCCGTCTTCAAGAAGGGGACGTCTCGTCTCTGCCTGGGCGTCACCACAAACAAACAGTAACCACAAGAAGCACTTACCTACAGGGCACCCGGCTAGAGATTCACCGCCGAACTTTTATGCTCAATCCCAGGGCGTAGTAAACAACCCTCCCGCCCCCAAGCATGTGTCTCTACCGGAGCGTGCGTACTCTTCGTGAGCAGAAGTTTGTCGACCTGGCAGGGTCTCACAAGATTTTAGCTGTAATTTCACTTTACCTTCTTGGCCTCGTCCTTCTCCATGAACGAGGGCCGCATGTTGATGTTAAAGTCGGTGGCGCAGTCCATGATCGCGTCGCACTTTGCCGCGGCCAGGTCGTCGCTGGGGTAAAGCCCTACGGCGGCAGCGACCAGCGGGTGGCAGGGCGAATGGCCGACCGGCGAACATCAGAAAAAAAGCACTGTTGAACGGATGGCGAAAGAAATGGTGGCTCACTCCGGTGTGTCTACAGCAAAGCGTTTGTACTGCGAAAAAACCACTGCGCAATTTTGGTACACGTGGTTCCATTACTATGCTAAAACCGTTACCTAGCAAATCACCAATATCCCGCTTCCCGTCGAAGGAACTCTCACGCAAAAATTGGTTGGTTCATGTGGGTTTCTCGTCACCTCCCACGAAGTAGGCATATACAAGCGCCAAGCACGA